TGATGACCGTTTGGAAAGGATTTTTCATGAAATTCAATGAAACTCCATAACCCCATTAAGACCATCAAAGGGCAGTCCAACCCATCAACCGCCCAACCCACCCTGCCTGCACCGAAAGCATGGCCGCTTTTCGGGATCGGAGCCATGTGCTCAAGGCCTCGGCGTCGAGCACAAGGCCGCCCGTGAGTCATGGCACCTGGGCACCCTGGTTGACCCCTGCAAATGAACAGATTTGTCAGGGATGTCAACCTCCCATGGTTTGGTGGGGCAGCCATGGGAAGCCTTGGACTCACGGCCAATTGATTTGGCCTCGGCTGCAGCCGAGCCATGTGACCAAGTGCAGGAGCCAGACTCTGGGGTTTGGCCGAGAAAGTTGAGATCAATTCATTCCGCCTGTCTGACAGACTAGCCGACTAGCCCCTCTATAGATGAAGCAAACTACCAAGCTTGAGCAAATGAAAACAACAACTACTCAGTGACCCCTTTGTTGGGTCGTCCAGTTCGGTTAGAACAGATTCCCCTCTTCTCCAGTGGGTCTAGAAGCCGGTGACTCAAGCTACGCCATCCAGGTTGTAACATGTTGTAAGTTGTAACCATTCTTTGTCTGGCAAGGTCAATGACTTCCCGGTTTGTGGCATCTGAATCTGAGAGCGCATGCGTTGAACCGGAAACACCTGGAAACGTTTCTGTACGGTGTTAGTGTTTGTCAGGACATGCCCAATTGCCTGGAGGTGGTCGCAGGGTGCAAGATTGAGGAGCCTGGCCAAACACCGCCATGACAGCGTCCTGGGTAGTATTACTTCAGAAGCCAACACAAAACACGTTGAAAAACATTCAACTGCAAAACTCGACTTTGGGTCACCAGCTGAACCAGTAGAATAGAAGGGGGTTTGCCACGAGCTCGTATAATTCTTGCATCACTCCATGAGAACATGCAAGAACCTTCAAGAATGGCAAACACTGTGCATCCGGGTCAAACAAGTCTCAATGGTCTGCTCCATTGCGCTCGTTTGCTCGACACCGGTCGGCGCCTCAGGCAACATCGTTGAAACCTCAGCTTCAGCAGTTTCTCCGCCTGTTGGGCGAGTTTGGGGCTTCCTTCGCTTGCCCACTTCCCGAAGGATCGACACACAGCATGAAACTCAGCTGAGCATCCGGTTGTGGGTATGGCCCGCTGGGACACATGAGACCAGGCTCCTGGGCAAGTCGGCTACACAACCCCACCGGGGCCGATGCTATGTTTTCTATTTTTTTCTCATGTGGGGAGCTCCCCCCTCAACGGAGGCAGTGACAGTTGGTGAGTAAAGACCTGCAAGTCCTGAAAAGAAGCCGGTCTCTTGAAAGATTTGAAAGGGTATGATTCCAGTCATCACGCACACTCCCAAGGTCCACCGCCTCAAACGAATGCTCCAAAGCCTCCACTGCGGAGGATCCCTTCCTTTCGTTCCCACGTCCGAGCGTCACAAGAGACCGGCATGGAAAGGCGGGCATTGGCTCTTTGATTGTTCTGGATCAACGCCGCCAGCTGAGTGATCAAGCCTCAACACCCCAAAAACGATGCCATGGACGGAGAATTCTCGTGAAAGTCTGGTTCCCTTCGTTGAAAACACGCCAACTCGGGACTGCGACCCGCGCGTCGCGACCCTCGTGACGATCCATACCGGAGGAATTTGATTTGAGCATCCACTGTGGAACTCGAAAGCCATGTTTGACTTAGACATGTCCAGTCCCATCTCAGGCGCTTGGAGCAGTCGCTCGGGACTTCTGCGAGATTCCAGCCCGGGCGCATGGGGAAGGGTACTTGAAACGCAAGTGGGAGGTGGGAGTTGGTGGGAGGCGGCTCCCTCTCTCTCTCTCTCTCTCTCTCTCTTTCTTTATATATATATATATCGTCTTCAAACAGAAGCGGGAGGTGGCTGGGCCAACGGATTTTTGGGGGACATCTGTCGGAAAGCTGACAAAGGAGGGAAGGCAGCTACACAAAGCCATTGTCTTGAGCAGATCTCCCAAGGAAAGATGGATTTAGACGTGGACCATGGAGCAACCCTTCATCAGAAAAACTCCTTCCGCGCCTGCGTCCTGCATGATCACAAAGAAATTCAAATATTCAAAGAAGTTCACAATGCCTGCGTCTGGAGGGCCACTTTGGTGCTCCCGGTTCACGTGCATACTGTATGGCTGATAAAGAAAGACGTTGAGAATATACGCTAACTGGAGGGCACTATTCCAACAAAATAAGTGCATCGACAAATAGGGATGCCTGAGTTGGCATTAAGGATTCCAATCTTCGATGTTGGGGTCTGTGCCATTTGCTCCTGCATTCTTCCAACTGGACCTCCATCTAATGGTTCCGTGGGGTGTCCGCATCTTGGACCATCAAAGCAAAACCGTGCTTGAGCACACAGGCTCTCGCCAAGATATCCTGTCGACTGCCACTTTTGGGTTTGGTAGTTAAGCCAAAAAGCCAGGCATCCTCCAATCACAAGTGCCCTTCTGCTACATTGCATGTCGCGTGTGTCAGTAAGAGATTCCGAACTTGCATCCTGCCTTGCCAAATATTGCTGCCTGAACAAATGCTTGGAGGTTTGAGCCAAAAGATTTCAACACATCGAGCCAATGACTGAAGCGACGACGCTCACCAATTCCACAGCTTCAGCTCCCATTCCGATCATCCGTCGCTCCTCATTTTGGGCTTCACAACTCGCCACCGGACACGCCAACGATGACAGCGTCAAAACGGCGCAACGCCACGACGGAGCACAAAACGGGTGGAGCTTTTCGAGTCCAAAGCCGGGAACCAATGGGTTCAACATGGTTCAACGACCGTAACGACGATGACGGACTCGGATACCGTTCGGGCTCGACCGTCTGTAGGACCACCCGTTCGCTCTTGAAGGAGAAGCTTCTGATCAAAGTCTGTTCCAGCACCCCGGGACTTCTTGCCAAACTCCGCAGATGTGTGCTGCGGTGGTATTGGCGTCTTTGTGACTTGAGGGCCGGGTTCAAACATTTGCGAGCACCCAGACACACAGAAAACTTGCAACAATGCGCAACAGTCATATGTGTATACAAGGCATACATATATATATATATGCATGTATACACTGCATATACATATATAAGCATTACTATAAGCATGTATAGGAAGCCCTCTGTGGAGGGGTTGGAAGAAGTGCACAAAGTGGTCATGACTCAACCTCTACAATACCGATACACCCCAAACCCGTCGACAAAAATTGCAATTACACATAGACGAATTCCACTAGTTCCCCTGCAAATCCCTTCGCCAAAAGGTGTCACAAGGCCGCAAATGCTCGGGAAGGATCGTGAAGGGGAGCGCAAATGGGTTCAGATATATATATATATATAATATATATATATATATATATGTGTGTGTGTGTTCTGTCTCCATCACGGCTTTGAGTTGATGACAGACCAGGTGCTCGCAAAGGATGAAAGATCCCTGTAGAGGGAAGATACTCCTCAAGAGTGTGCGCCCAGAAGCAGGATTTTTGCACAATGACCCAGCTAGGTTGGTCCACAGGCAGTGGAAACCTCTCCAGCAAATAAGACATCATTCTTGGCAAGTGAATTTAGAGCTATGCAGAAAGAGCTATATATATATATACATCCCTCTGACCAAATGATAGAATGGATCATCCGACAAGCTTCGGTCATGTCACGTGCATCAATATCAGCTGAAGCTGCACCTAAAAATAATAGAAGGGAAGGTTGTCCCATGTTTTGCCCATCTTTCATGGCACCTGACTGGACGAGATAGACACCCGCAAGCCTCCAACAATCCAACTGGGGTGATATATCCAGCGCCAAGCTGAGCCAAACAGCTGGAACCCTTCCCAACTAGACACTAGCAGAATGCGACATTCAAAGTCTTCAGGACTGCTAGGTTGTCAATGCAGGTGGCAATGAAGCTCCTGTTGAATGGCTTCTTTTCTGGAGCTGTCCAGGAAACTGCCAAATTCGCACTAGGTCACTAGGTACTTCTGTGGATTTGTATGGAACCTCTCTTTCAAGAGGTCCCCCCAGCACCGAACACCCTCCACGCACTGGGCCGTGAGGATCGGTACCTCTCTGCGCCCGGATATGGATTGAGTGGCCCTCTATGCACCACATGCCAGCGGCATCCAGCTCGCCAATTCCAGGCTACAAAGAGCTCTGGAATCGATTGCCTCAAGCGCTACGCGATGCGGAAAATCGATATGGAACTGAGGCCAGCATCGTGCTTTTCCTTGGCATTCTGCTGACCCACTTTGTCCAGCCATGCATCGGTTGAATTTCTGAGCTGCAGTCGCCTCCCAAACCCTCCCCCTTCTTGAAGCCGGGGACCACGCCAGTGGCAAAACTGACATAATTGGCCGATATCATTGGCTGAAGGCACCCACCCGGGGCAGTCTGACAGTCTGAGCAAACGCATGCAAACGCCATCGGCGAACATTCAGTCGGGCTACACCAGCAGTACACTCATCAGCTGTTGAGGAGTCATCTAGTCGGAGTGACCGACTGAAGGTCATCGACTGATGCGTTCCGCGTCCCATCTACTAAACGAAACGACACATTTACTCATCTTGTCGTGTCGCCACCAGTGGCACAGAACCGGCATCAAGGCATGGTGAGGGTAACTAGACAGGATAGTAGTCTTTGGCCCCGACAAGGTTCCATCACTCCGCGCCGCGTTGCAGGTCAGCTCAGCAGTGAGAACGAAGCAACGACGAAGCAATGATGGAGACATGGAGACTTCACAAACATGCCATGGTCACCATGGTCAATGTTGTTCTGTTCTGGATGTCCCCACTGAGCCCCTGGAAACGGCATGAAGTGACGCCTAGCTGCAATAAATGCGCGGGGATTCTGTACAGGCATCTGTAGCTTTGCAAGGCGTTTCTTCCACGTCTGGTTCTTGCAACCTATTAACCTGTCAGCATCATCTTAAACAAAGTTGATCAAATTGGGGTCTTCCATGGTCTTCCCACCTGTTCCATGTTCCAATAACGCGTTCCTCAAGAACCTGAATTTGGGCCGGCCTCGCCCACGCTGGCAGGCGGTCGCCCGCCGGCTTGGGCACGGTCGGTCGCGAAGCTGCGTTCGGCCGTGGAGCTCACCGTCCCGGACGGCTGCGGCATGCGGCCGAAGCGCTTGGTGGCTGCCATGGTGATGTGCCGCCCCTGCGGGGAGCGCTGGAGCTTTGGCAGGCACCGCCCAAGCAATTGGGCCACCCTGGGGCACGGTATAGGCGCGGTTGGAAGGTGAACGTCCTGGTGTTTGTGTTTGCTCATCCCATAGCCAATGACATCCACCCTGTCCCTGACGTTTTTAAGAACCTACTACGCGCTGTAGGTGTGCGTGTAAAAAGGCTAGCTGCCTAGGTTCCTCTTTGCCACGGCAGCAGTGGATCATTCCTCAACTCGGGCGAACTCAAACTAGTCATCCCAAATCAAGAGACCACAAGCGAGCTCGAGACATGGGATGGCCACAATCCATCTACTTCAGACATCTTCAGACTATCTTCACCTTCTGCCGCAATTGTCGGTAAAACCATTGTTCGATGCACCTTTCTTCTGGGCTTAGCGGCTAAGCAGGCTGCTCAACAAAATGGCAGACCACCACAATCGAATTTCAATCGACAATGACTCACTGTATCACTAGCGGCACTAGCGCCAATGTGGACCACCAAAAACGGATGCCTGTGCTTCCAACGTATAGACCCTCCCGAACAATAACACCCCTGTCATCCCCTGTCCATGTTGCTCTAAGAAGATCAGCCCGCAGTGGTCAAGCCTTCAGCCACATTTCTGACCGGGGACTGGGACGAGAATGCCATCTTCTCCGTGCATTCTGTGTATGCTTTGTTGGCTTGGCTCTGCCAAGTTAAGAGAAGCCCATTCAATGCAGGGGCGCTGGTCATTCTCTGGCATTGTGCGTGCCCACAGAATCTCATGTTCACGCCCACGACCCCGGGCCAAGCATCTTTGTGCCAAATAGTTCCCAAAGCGATCCAGCAAGATCTGCGCCAAAGGCGCACGGCTGGTGCCGTCGCCTAACAAGAGCTCCTCAGCGAAAGATCCGGTGCTTCATCTGGAAGTGCCCAACGATTCGTTGAGGAGTCTGTGTACCCTAGGCATCCCTAGACTATATAACCGGAGTTCTTTTTTCAACCGTGCCACCCACCTCAGAACACATCTATATATCATTTTGAGGTGGTGGGAGGTCACTCAGAGGCTCTGAGACGAGACCACCTAGGTGGGGACCCACCACCACAAATGGGCTCAATGCGGATCAACTCGGGATATCTCGGCTAACTTGGGGTGATGTTGCACATGGCCCCATAGGCTCATATGCTTGAAATTATTTACAGTAAAAAATTTTAGACATATAACATTATGACAAAAGCAAATTATGTTGCACCACCTTGGCTGTTTTAGTGGACATTATTGTGCTACCACCACCTACATGTGTTTTGAAATAATACTTTTAGAATCTTTTAGATCAGAAATCACTAAGTCACTCCCACCTTGAAAGAATGTCCCAAGGCAGGGCCCATAAGTCTTAAAACAATCCCGGTGGGCTTGCCACGTGGCAACCAGGAAGATTTTGGGTCAGTCTTTGGTCATGGCTGCTCCCTTTCTTTGCACATCTTTTCTTAACAGGTCCAAGGACTCCAAAGTTCTCTTTAGACTAAGTGTGCCTCCACCGGCAAGGCAGGATCACTACGCAAACGAAAATGAACCGTCCTGTCTCATGTATCTGAGATCTTCCAATGGTCTGGGAGATCGAAAACCCCTGTCCCACCTCCATCACCTCCTCCCCTCCATCCGCCAAAGGGTCGACCAGCAAATCACGTTCTGGGAAATCGCCCGATCTCTCGCTGCTGGCTTCTAAGCATCGTTCGAACACCAGGCTTGCATGCCTCGAGAAAGGCCGTGGCAGTCCCGCTCCAGGTCGCCCCGAGGCTACGAGACAGTTCTGTCTGAAAAGGCTTCTTTGGGTGATAAAAACTCTGGGTGCTGAGTGCATAGAAAAACGCCTGCAAATCATGTGGTAGAGGGAACTGATATACAGTACATCGGTTTTTTTTTGGGGGGGGGTCAAGTGTATGGTTCCCCGAGGGGTGACGTAGCTCCGCCTCCCCGAAGGGGGCCATGGCTGCGTGAAACGACGACCGAACCGGGGACTTCGAAACAAACCATTTCGACGCGGAAGGTGACAACAGCCAAGCCATGACCAGGATCTGACAATTCAAGAGGCTTGTGCTTGGCAAATTTGAGAACATTTGTCGAGATCGCCGCCATAATGACCTCCAAAGTTCGTTCGTCGTTCGGTCGCGAAAGCACCGAAACAATACGAAGTGGACATGACCAGTCACGATTCAGTCTTTGATAATAACTATAACATACTATAACCACTTAGTAAAGCAAAATCTTGTAAAATCTTGCAAATCAATGTGGAGACTCAGTTCCGGCCACAAAGCCAGCACGTTGATCTACATGTGCACGTAGACTCGTAGACTTACATACATTGCAACGACTTCAAATATATACAGATTGAAACCTCCGCCTGAAATCCACTCAGGATCACTAAGTACAGTAACCCCAACTACCAGATGTTAATCAACTTCTTCCCACCAATCGTGGTCCGATTGAGGACTTCCTCAAGTCTTCCATTCATATGCATGACAATCCCAAGTTGAATCCCCACCCAACTCCCTGCAGGTTGAGTCCGCCTTCACCTGGGCATCAGTTCCATGTGCCACCAGGGCCCGCAAGACGTTACCTGGACGGAAAGGCTGGGTACAGCACCCAACGGCATCTACTTAATCCATCCAATTCCATCAAGATGCGTTGTGGGAACGCTCCCACCGGCGAACTTCGGAGCGGACGGGCGGAGGACGGAGACTCGGACTTCGGCGAGGCCAGAGAGGCCAGAGAGAGCGGGGCGATGACGTCCTTCAACCGGTCAATCGATAGAAGAAAGCCTTAACAACTTGGATCCCTCATACTGACTCATAGAGAGACACATGGTGACATATCGTGACTAAGACTAAGGAATGGGTCCTGGCTGCACATTCCGGCTGGCGAAGCAGTCTTCCTTCAAATCGTTGCACACGGTTGTCGAACCATGGTCAACCGTTTGGCATGCTCCAATTTTTCAGGAAGGGCGACAGGGAGAGAGGATTCCGGACCGATGGAAGTGAAGAACCCTTTACACAACTCCCCCTGCAGCACTGCGGCACCATCTGCCAGCGCCCAAATTATACAATTCTCAAAGTGTTGCTCGAGAAATCCAAAAGAAGTCATTCTGGATCTGAGTCTGAGTGAAGAAATTCGAGTCGAGTCATGTCAAATCACGGCGTTTCAAGTTTTAAATGGTGGGCCACCACAGGTGACTGGGCCTCTTATGGCTGCCAAGCTGCTGCCAAAGGGGTCCTTGAGAAGCTTTTCAATTTGGGGGACTGTCGCGAGCAGCGACTCCACAAGCTTGCTGAGTTCTGGCTCCTTGGAGCAATGCTCGATGAGGCGCTGCAAGACACGGCAGCCATAGACGTGCGCCGCGACCTCCAGCGCATGAGGCGTCAGCTCCTGAAGGATGAATGCACCCGCGGAAGAGGGCAAGAGCTCCACGTACTTCTGCAGGACAAAGTTTGCATGCAAATGTTGGCAGAGTTTCAGTGCCTTCCCTTGCAGTTCACTCGCGAAGGCCTGCTGAAACTCTGGAGAGGCTTCTTCCAATGCTGCCTGCATCACCCGGCAACCCCAACGATCTTTCGTGAGCCTCAACAGAGATCCTTGCAAGCGCCGGGTCATCGCTGGGATCGTCGTACTCCCGTGGTCTCGCGCTTTCCGGCACGCGACGAACAGGTCGCTGATGACGCCAGCGCCATTGGGATGGCTGGCCAAATAGGGGAGCTCTGGCAGAAGTGATGTTACAACCAAGGGTGGCGCAGAAGCATCTGTGGCCAACAATCGCGAAACCACTTCTGCTCCATCCTGGCTCCGCACCACCTTTCCAATCGCCTCAACTGGTGCCTAGGACCTAGGAGTCTAGTTGCCACGACTTCTCTTGAAGGTGTCCAAATCAGAGGGGGCTTGAACGAGCAAACATTTGTGAAAAACCAACCAAGCAGCTACATCCTCTCTGGAAAGAAGAAGTGGAAGTCCTGATGTAATGGGTGCTGGTGCGGCCTTTGGCTTGCTGTACCTCTGCCAGGAGCGGCTGCACATGACAGGTCGTGCATGCACCCAGCATGTCAGATCAGACAGGGAGGTTCACCAGTTGCCGAGCGGTGCGGCGTCCCCCCAGGATTCGAAACGTATTTTCAGTGTTTGGTAAATTAAAATCATTGTATCTCTGTTTGATATGTATTTTCTACACACTGTTGGGCTCATCGAACAGTGTGTAGATTGAACCCGGACCTAAGCCAAAGCTTCCTTTGTAAACAGGTTCAAGCAAGCGTTAGAGTTATACTTAACATCAGCCACTCAAAATATAGCCCTCTACTTACTACTATCACAAAGGGTTTCAAATGGGTTCTAGGTGCGTGTGCATTTATATCGGGTTTTCCTGGCCGAAAGCTACTGTACCTGCTGATGTCTTACAGGACTTATTAATTAGTAGACTACATCAGACTACTAATTAAACATTCTGGCGGCGTTAACCCGGGCCCTACCCTCATTCCAATTGATGAAGACAAACCATTCTTTTGTCAAAACCACGAGGTGGTTCTTTTATCCACCGAACGAGGAACCGCAAGAACTGCCCGAAAAGAACTGTGCAGAATCGGAGTCACTCTGGCGTGCCCAACAAGCCAGCAAGATGCATGAGATTCGCCGCTTTCAAACTCTCGAGCACCTGGAGGCTGTGCGACCGGAAGTCGTTTGGGCAAGAAGAGCTGTGCAGCTGGGTTTCCCTTGAACAAAGCCGCTGCACGCGCAAAAGTGGAACTCCATATGTTGGTATTGCTTGTGGTTGTTCGCCGCTATATCGCTTTACAGTGTTTCGATTGGCAGGAGAGAGAGAATTCTATTCACAAGGCAGCCCTTCCTTCCCCTTCACTACCCCAGTAGTTCTTTTTCTAGATTTCTTCATCTGTGGCATGCACAGATTAGACAATGATATAAAAGGAGCTCCCTAGACACCATTTTGATCAAAAAAGTGGTATCGCTTTGGTATCGCTATTAATGTATGTTATACTATATAAGAAGAAATTGCCAAGCCAAGAAATACCATACAGGAAATTGAATGAAATGGTTTCGCTTGTGGTTGTTCGCTATAATATCGCTTTACAGGTTGTTTGATGATTTCAACGAAATTGTTCGACTCACATAAAGATGTGTGTACAAACCCTTTGGGGTGTTGCTCATATGCAATCATATGCATGCAACAAATGCGGGCAGCCTGAAAAATCATTGCAAAGGCTGGTAGGTTCTTTGCAAGGCAAGCGGGTTCTGCGAGAAGTTCGCAGTTTTTTCCCCGCCGACTTCGTCCAAGTTCTGAAGCTGGGACCTCCATCTGGTCATTTTCGAGGCCAGGGGGTAGAGAAGGACACCTGAGCACGTCCGGCATCCAAATGCCCAACAAGCATGTCCGGTGATCTGAAGCCAGTCAGCGACCCGAGTATAAATGATACAACAGCGAGGTCTATAAATCCTATACTTGGCCCTATGCATTCCTATCTGCAGTGTCCAAGGGTTGTCATTTGGGATGTGTGCCATCTCCTGTGGAAGTCCTGATGTGGAACCACACACACGCACTGACACACCTGTCCGACGCATTCTTAACACCTTCAGAATTTTGGCGAACTTTGCAGTTTGATGCGAAAATTTGACAAGTCTGAGGGACACCCTCGGCCCCAGGGCAGCCAACTTGGAGAATGTGGCAGTCCTGCAATTGGCCAAGCCGACGACAAAAGATTCATCCGTCAAGCAGGAAGTCACAACGCGGTGTATTGTAGAAGTTGAAACAATAATGTTGGATGCTGATTAGTAATAGGGTCCTCTATAATGCTGTTTTGAAAAACATAATTGGACCCCCTGTTTGCTTTAAGGGTCCTCTATCAGGTTTAAAACACTTGGATCCTAAGTGTTTTTAATTGAAAAACATTTAGGTTCAAATAGATTTCCTTTAGAACAATAAAGATAGTAATTATTAATATTACTAAGCCAATGGTTGGGTTGCTGAGAGTATTGATAAGTATAAGTTTCTATAGTTTTTCTTCAAAACTGACAGCTTCCCAAAACCATTAATTCCCTAACCAATCCGTTGTGTAAAGATTGCCCCTAAACTCCTAAACAAATTATCAATGTAGTAGACCAGGAAGGCCCGTGATCTTCAATAATGAATTTGTTTTAAGGGTCCTCAATTGTGCAAAGTTTTTTCCTGGAGAAAAATAAAAATTAACATTCCTAATACTACTAAGCCCATGGTTGGCTTGCTGAGAGTATTGGTAGGTATAGGTGTCTCAAGTTCTTCTTCAAAACTCACAGTTTCCCAAAGCCAATTCCTTAATCAATCCTTTATGTAGTAGTATGAAAGGATTGCAAAGAATACCTGATGATAAAGAATTTCTGAAAGGGCAACGAATACTACAATCAATTAATTACACAAGGAATCCTCCTAGGAACCCAGATTTGTTTTAGAGGACCCCCCATTTCTTTGAGGGACGGGGGTGCCTTTTCTAATCAGGATCCCACATTAATATGAAATCATGATGTCCCAACACTAAGCCCGGGTGCCTATTTAAAAACACTGCCCAATGAACAAAGTGGATGCCGGAAGCCCATAAATAGGGTTATTTTTAAAGTACTGCCTTTTTGAACTACCAAAGCTACAAACATTGTCGATTTCTCATGTGTTTTCCATTGAGGTTCATAAAGCAATCCTAGCTGTCCACCCTGTCTGTCCACCATTGTGCACCATGACACGCCGCGTTTACACACTAGCATGTTTTCCTTCCATGGACTCACGCAAACGCACTTTCCACCGAGGCCGCGCAAAGCCGCATCGCACAGCGACATCACCGTTAGTCTAGTGAAGAGTCGCTATTTTAATAAAGTGCTCTTGCAAAGGGAACAAGAAGACCCTTCGATCTGGATGTTTTGTCAATTGTTGATACGAGTCTAAAAAATGATATAAAACTGTCCTAGTCGACTTTTCGGTGTTGAAGCTCTTCCCAGGTTTGCATGGTTTCGCGTCCCCCCATTTCGGGGACGCCCTACCTGAGAAGGGAGGGGACGAAAGCCAGCCTCAGGGCAGGCCGGGCAAAGACTTGGCAAGAGGAAGTGATGGGGTAACATCGGGCAATGATTAATTTCATGGGGTGAAGCTGACATCACAGCCACACTGACAGGGGGTAGAAATGGAAAGTAGAAGGCATAGGTTTGGGGGGGGGCTTTTTCGTCCGGCTCAGGGGCGATTAAAATGGGCACCCCTAAGAGGAAGTGAGGCGCGCTTGCCAGCGGCGTGTTGCGAATCAGTGAGCAAAAACGGCGGTGGGGGTTCATGTGCAAGGCTATGGGTGGGGTAGGTGAGGATATATATACTTGAGAGGCGGGGAACGAAAGCGATGACGACGACACGACGATCGTGAAAACACCTGAAATTAATAATCCCCTGAGATGATGTTTGTGATGTCGTGCCCCTTGGGGGGCGGGGGGGAGGCCTCAATCAATACCGCTTCAATTCGTTAAGGGGGGGACGGGAGGGATCTATTGATTCACTTCACACGAAGTGGGGGGGGGGGGGGGGGCCGTTTGTAGTGATTTGTCTATTGATTCCTTTGATTTTGACCCATCTAACTAGAACTTCAGCTGACCTCCTTCGGAGATCGCTTTCGTGATATATATATATATATAGAGTGGACCTAGAGTAGCCGGAAGTGATGAGGTTGATATTGGAGCGACTTGAGTGCGCAAAATGAAGTGATAGGCTAACCTTATGTAAAGAGTACGCTTATGGGGTGACGTTGGCATCGCAGGTACGCGATAGGAGGTGGAAACAGACGGTAGAATTGAAAGGGGCGTCTCCTTTTTCGTCAAAAGATTTTATGTGAGTTTGTCGGCTGCGTGTTGGTAATGAATGACCAGAGACGGTCGTGGGCGAGAAAGCTCTGGCACCCGCCCGCCACGCAGCATGCCCCGCCGGATCCCAAGAGCTGTGGGGCACGAGCTCCACCACGCAACCGAACACCCCCAAATCGTCTGCCCGAGCAAGCGCTGGACCTTCCACCTCCAACGCTGGCCAGCTGCAATCTCTTCTTTGTCCTGCCCTCAACAACCCCCCAATCCACGTGAACTCCCACCAGATAGGGAGTGCCCTCTTCAGTCCGGTTCGCTCGCAGGCCCTCAACAAATGGCACCATGCACCCCATGGGGGGTGCCCTTTTCAGTCCAACAACTAGACCTTGCTACGGATAAAAAGGGCACCCCTAACTACGTGAACTCCCACCGCATAGGGGGTGCCCTCTTCAGTCCGGCAGCAACGCTAAGCTTGGCCGCGACTACAATCTGTTCTCTTTCCATGGCCTCCCGAGCCCCTCATGACCCCCAATCCACCTCTCCATGTGAGGTGATATGGGTTCCCCTTTTCAGTCCAGCAACTAGACCTTGCCACGGATAGAAAAGGGCACCCGCTGCAATCTCTTCTCCTGCCCCCAACAACCCCCCAATCCACCTGAACACCGCATAGAGAGCGCCCTCTTCAGTCGGGCAGCAACGCTAAGCTTGGCCGCAACTACAATCTGTTCTCTTTCCATGGCCTCCCGAGCCCCTCATGATGCTGATGATGCACTCTTCGCCGTCAATTACATCACCGGCATCACAACACCCCTCAAACCACTCATTTTTCACTACCAAGTGGCCCACCTCTTTGTTTTTCGCTCCCCCCCACCAAGCTCTGGGTTCACCTCTCCGAAATTGGCCACCACTCACTTCGTTCGCTCCAGCAACCTCAAGCCTTGCCCATCGGCTGGCTTTCGTGATGTTTACTTTTATTTTAGTGTCCTTTTTTACATAAGGGGGGGGCATGCTTTTTTGTAGTAATAGGTGGAAGGGATTACTGTATATACTGGGTTCAGGCGTGTCGGGGCCAGGGCCTCCTGATATCACAAGCAGTCATCCCATAGATATAGAAACGGCATAAACGGTACCGAAACATTTTTAAGATTGTTTAAGTGTTTAAGCACACAAGGATCGCTGCCAACATTCCTAGCTGTTCTTGATCTTTCACAGCCTCCTACAATTAATGAAAAAACATGAAAGAAATACATTCTCTTCCGCCAAGCTGGTGCATGTTCAAATAAGGTTGTTCCCTCTGTCCTGCAATTATATATATATATACAACTATACAGTTGCCTCGGATTTTTGATTTCAACCGCTAGCTCACAGTGTCCACAGGATTGATTCTGCCCCTCTGTCTTGCCATTCTGCCTGCCCAGAAGGTAGCACTCCGAAGCGGGTACAGGCATCGGGTAGCCGGCTGAAAGACTTGCCAGGCCTGCCAGTCTGTTTGTTAGAATCTGTTAGAACTCGAGTGTGCCTGTGCGAGTTAGCGGTGGGCACTGAGAAACGACTTGCAAAGCCAAAGCCCGATAGACAAAAATCGCTGCCGATCATGCCCAAAAGCACCCGTGATGCTCTCGTAGTGCATGTCCTGGTTGGGCGTCCTCGCTAGACCGGCCCACCCCAAAGCAAAATCAGCCCCACCTGTGGACATGTGGCTTCGAGTTGGCTTCGCCGAAGCCTCACACGGATGACACGTTGCGCCCGGTGACGCCGATCCGGTCGGTGGTCCGGCTTCATCACCACGCTGCCAGGCTCTGACGTCATCACGAACAAGTGCTGATTCTCTGCTGATGTCGGGCCTAGCCATTGCCTACCAGATCCTACAAGAGATGAAACCTCCGACAAACACATAAGGTCATACAACATATAGTAACTTAATAGAGTCCGTCCACACCGTCCCTGCAAGGCACATGCTCAGAAGATGCAAGTCAACTCGACAACTTGATACAACTTGCACGGTCAGGAGCAGCCCTCCAGTCGGGCCTGAGAGTTGTTCGAACGCTCTTGGCGGCGTAACTTTGACCAAAAACAGCAGAGACACATGCATCATCACGCATCCAAAACCAATTTCTACGTAGATTGTACGTATTTCCACACTCTACACAATGTTCGTTGGAGGAGGCAGGACATCTGTAATGATCCATGGCCCAAAGGGTTCGTCATGCACACAAAGAAATATGGCCAATCTCGGCTCGGCCCTTTGCCTCAATCAGCCTCATTACCCCACAACCTGATCTGCAAACGTAGCAGGATCTCACTGTCTGACGCACATCGCGCGTAGACCCTTAGTGCTACCTGGACAACAATGTCATGCAAGTTTGGTCCAACTTGGGAAGAGAACCTGGATCAAAAACTTTAAAAGATGGAGAAAAGAAACACAAAACCGACCGCTGGATTCCATGCTGGACGGGTCTGACCGAGCTCCTGGCCTCCCAGGCGTTTTTGAACCCCACGCTCATTGCGTTGACTGACCCAAAACCCGCCTCCAACTCGGAGAGCTCAGAGGACATGACCCAAAGGTTGTTCGGCATCTTCAAAGATGGAACAGCTGACATGGCCTGACTATGGCTGAGATTGGCTCAATAATCGGCTCTGCTTACAGAACAGGTTGCTGCTCAAGTTTGGCCTTTGGTTGATGCTTATTTATTGTTAAAGCTAGGCAAGATGTCGCCCATTGATGCTACATACCCGTACAAGCATCCGTGCCTTCGGAGCACCTCACCCCCGGTGGTGAAGCGGAGGTGACAGTATGCCGTAAGCAAATTGACGTGTGACTCCCAGTTTTGCTCCAGCTGCGTTTTGGATGTTCATCAACATCCAGTCAGTGCAATAGTAGTTGCACCCCACAAGAGTCAAAATGTAAACACACACCAAAAAAATGAAGTTTGCACGACGATTTTATAATTGTTGTTATCCAAATAGTTAGCCGTTAGCACATTGCAACCAAAGCAAGGGAGCGCAAGTGTATCAAGTCTGCAGCACTTGAAGGAACGTGTCGAATGGAATAACCCCCCTTCTCTCCCAGTAGATCTGCAAGCACACCAAAAAAGGTCAACCACACTAGCTTTATCAGGCTTTATGGCTTTATCTATATATGTAACTATATGTGATGTTTTATTTAGTTTTACAGTTGTATTTTGGATTATATATGTTTGCATATTTTGGCAGGGCCATCGAAGCACTTTCCAGCAAAGGAGTGTATGGCAGGAAGTGGCAACCAGTGCGTGCCACATATTATGTTGGCCTGCAAATCATCCTCCATGGACAAGGACGACAAATGCCGCAGCTTGAGGCATTCCTCATCAACCTGATCTTGGCAGAGCATGACTTCCCTCCCTTTGGTTTGACAACAGCCCCAGCCACACGCAAGCTACTGGTCGTATTCAACACTTGTCGGACTGACTGACCCGAAGCGATACTTTGAGACAAAACTTCAGCAACTAGCAACCCGGACAACAACTGCCACTGCAGGTGATGGCTGCCAAACCTGGATGGTCTGAGCTGCTGGGGCTTTCTGGTGGCACATTGCCAAGTTCTTCTATCCAAACGACCAAATCCATGAACAAGTCGACATGTCCTCTTGAACAAGTTGACACATGTCAAGCTACACCAGCAGCGTCACACGGTAGGAGACATGAGCTAACTGGTCCTAAACGCCACACATTGAGTGCCCAACGCCATTCACGTATTCCTGCCATTGCTCTGTCTCCTGCAGTCGTGTTTTTTGGCCTTGCTCCCTGGAAAAAGGTTCCGAAACACGCTTGAAAAAGCCTGGGGCAAAAAGCCTGGAGGAGCCCAATGAGCCCGGAACTGCTAGTCAGCTAGTCATCTAGGGCCGTCAAAAGGGGTAAGGTTCGGTGAAGGAAGGTTTCAAAAGGTTTCAATGCTACGACAGCGTGTGTTCTGCATGTGGCTCTCCTGAGGGAAATGGTTTTGATGCGGAGTGATCGAAGCGATCAGGCCAGTGCAAACAGAGATTCCATCTTCACCTGAGCCATAACCAAAAGGAGTCCAACATATTCAAACATATTCCGACTATTGGCCACCCTTTTGCCGTGCTTGGCCTCATGATGTGAACGAACGAGATGAGAGAGATGAGCTTGGTGGTATTCGAATGTGATTCGGATGTCCCTAGCTGTGCTTTCTCCACACACCATTCGTTGACATCTTAGCCTCACACGGTCCGTGATGAACCACCGGCCACCGCTGGTGCTGTAGATCCTGGCCACCCACTCTCACTCAACCGATTTCATCCAAATTCCAAGGCCCTGTCAGTTTATGTATGTTTATATGTATATGTGTAAGATTGTGTAAGTTTAGATAGTTTAGTGAGTGTTGAAAGGAGGTCTAGTAGAGAAAAATTTGCCATCAGACCTATTGGTCTCTGTCACCCACAGTGAGTGAGGGGCACCCTATGGCTCTGTCGTCAAGGTCCGCGAGCCGGCCGGCCACGCAACACCGGCATGAAGGCATGGCACCTGCAGATGTCACCGCTATGGTCCGCTGTCTTCCTTCCAAACCAGGCGCCCCTACCAGCCAGGGCCGCAGTGTTGCTTCCAAACAGCCTGTCGAGCGTGGTGAATTTGGATGTCCGTAGTTTTGGCACTTGGGAGATCTTGGCGAGTGCCATTTCTATGGTCCAATTTGTGCAATTTCTAGGGTCCGAATGGAAGGACATGTTCATCCAAGTCCAAGACAGTTCATTCATGTTCAAGTGCCAATAAGTCCAGAAGCAGTTGTCTCTCACCGGGTTGTCTCTCACCTCCCAACATATGAAGAATCGCGCCTGACCGCGCTCCAATCGCTCGGGCACCTTGGTGTACTCACCTGGCCCATCAGGGGTACTGAAAAGCATGGAATATTCGGTTTGGCCAGGTACTTGATTGGAGCATCCTGATTGGTACAACACACAATATCATGTCCGTGTTGTATCCCATTCACAACTTGATATTGATGGATGGACGTCGAAGTGCGAGCAGCGACTGACACCATACAGGAGCTGTTAGTCTAGCCTGCGACATTGCAAGTATAGCTGCTCAGTATCTGGCCGCTCTTGCCAGGGCATGTGGTTACAATCCCCGATTTTCTGAAAGCAAAATCTTTTTCCCGCACCTTCTAGCGCTATGCGGCTGGGAGCCTCAAACAGCAAAACATAGCGAAAAAAACAAGAAGGATCACTGATGATTCGATAATGTATGTGCTCCTACTGCCCCTGATCATATATTATGTCATATGGCCACATATTGCCTCCATTTCGATCCTTTTTGCGGGCATCGATTTCCTGGCATCGCTCGTTCGAAGCTCCTCTCGGCGCCCTTTCGCTCTCATGTCATCAACCCGAGACGTCGGGCGTCGCCCGAGACGTCGGGCGCCGCGGCGGCGGCCTTCAGCCAGAGTTGCTTCGGCGCCGCTTTGGCCCTTCGCTGGGCATCCGCATCCTGGCGGATTCCGGAACGATCGGAGGTTCCTCCGCGGCCCCATCCCGGCTCCAGCCCGGCAGACCGTCTCAGCGGAGCTGAGAAGGATGAGGTCATTCATTGATTCATCTTGAATTATTGAGGGCACATGGGTCATTCGGAGTCCTAGTGCTGGGCATTGTTTGCTGGGCATTGACACCATCACCGGCCGGGAGATCGGCCAGCGCGCCAGCGCATCTGCCGCGTTTCTGTTTTGACCGGTGACATGACCGGCGAACGAACGACAAGGGTCGCACATCTTGAGCGACCCAGTGATGCGAGAGGTCGACCACAAGAGAAAACTGACCCCCATAACCAGTGGGATCACATGCCATAGCCGGTATGGCCATAACAATGACGATACTTTGGAACAACTGACCCAGAGTTTTGCCGTGTCGACTTCCCTAGGCCCGGCGAGCCAAGCATATCCCAATTCCAGGGACACTTGAGGTGCACCTGAGACATTTTTGCCGCGCGCCTCGTCTTGAGGCGCGCCACTCGAGAAGTGCAATTCAAGGTTGTGTATATATTATTGTACTTCCTGGCTCATGCCCTTCAACAGGTATGTTGAACTTAGCCGCCCTCATCAGAGTTGCCATGTCCACCTTCACGCAGCCTCCCAAGATTGTTGGGGGAGTCACTTTAGCTTCCCCCAGACCATGGAGCCGCTAAAGGCTCTACAAGGCCAGGAACGTCGAGCCAAACCCGAACAAGGTGTTCATCAAATTAATGAACACTTACCCCTCAACTGGAGGAGGAAAAACTTCCACTTAAAGAGTGGACCCTATAGATGACCCTAGCCCTAGATCCCCCAGTGCCACGGTCGCGCTCTTCATCGGTCTTCATAGCTTTGCTTATTCGCCCAGGATCCAGTGCCTAGTCCATGTACATCTCCACCGCATTGTCATCTCCCTTCCAGTAGGCCTTCCTTGGAGAAAAAGCACACGAAGTGCCACATGCCAGGACAATGATGCCATCACTGCCCTATGTCGGCTGTCTTAAGCTCATAGCTCCTTCTTTGCCCTGGCCATCGGCCACTGACGACTTAGACTCGGCCCTCGACTCGGAGTTCCCGACCCATCGGACCAGGCGAACCCGACAGGGTCGACGACAGACGTCGTTTCGCCCAGCGACATGGTGAAGGCCCGCTCCTGGCCGGCTTTAAAGGTCGTCGGCACGATCAGGTAGGGCGAGCTGCCCGTCTCAGTGAGTTCCGTGTCAACGAAGACCTGCCGAAGTTCGGACCGAAGTTTGGCCAGGTCTTCGGCGGTTCCTGATGTTCATTTGAAACTCAAGGCACCCGGCACACCTGAAAATGAACTGTCATCAAGCCCCCAATTCATCCCCAAGCCTCGCGGTCATAGCAGTAGGTGCCACTGTCACAAACGCGGTCGTAGAGGTTTGTATCCTTGAAGACCTCGCTGCGCTGGGACCGTCCAAAGACCACCCGAATCGATAGCAGGGTTGCAACATCACCCTGCTGGGGCCCAGAAAAATCACTCCTCTTTTGGCTGCTAGAGACCCAGGCCATCTAGACTAGAAGGTATACATTTCAAGGGACTGAAGTTGATGATTTTGCACAGAGTACTTGGCCAGCATCAGAGATCGAGTGAAAACATGTGCCCAGCCCTCAACAGCTGGCCATCAACTTATTTTCGAACAGCCAACAAACAAATAAAACTTGAACCGTGCGTCTGTCTCAATTGAAATGCGTCTTGAAACTCGCCGTAGTTTGGGAGCTCCTTGCTGCCGAAGTGCTCCGAAGCCAATAGGCACTTCATTATCCCCCTCGCCCACCCCTCGAGCATCGTGCTGCAACAAGGTCAAGAAAAGCCTCACCTGAAGCTGGAGGCTCTGGGCTCTGGCGAGCCAAAGCTGGCTTGTTAAGAGATGCACCATGACTTGAGAAGCCGGAACCAAAGTGAATACTAGTTACCAATTCAATGGAAGCGATGGTGTACTCTCTGATGTTTCAGTGCTATGCCAAATCAATTCATTGGGGGGTACCTTTTGATTCCAACACGCCAAATGGGGGGTGGGGACGCTTTGTGTAGTGATAAAACGATTTGATCGTTTGCAACGATCAATTCCAACCCTGCCCCTGCAAACGAGAACTTCAGCAAACCTCCTTTAGAGCTCACGTTCGTTTTACAAAATATTGTTTGAGGACATTTAGGCCACCAATCTCTTATGGTTTTTTAATCACAAAGTCTCCCGGCAATATCAACTCAGAAATTGCAGTTGCACGTTCTGAAGCTTGCAAAAGGGCCAAAACCAGTGCAAACATGTGCAAACCAATTGGTGGAGGTGAATGGCAAACTCGACTTTCTCCACTTGGGTCCAAAAATGTTCATGCCCAAAACCAACAGCGCACAAGCAACTCCATGGCAGCTAATCTCAAGGCTCTAAGGCCCAACAACAACAACAGCCCCGTTACAAAATACTTCAAGAACCCTAAAGTTTACGCTTCTTACTTTGTTCCAACATGACACGTCCATTTTGCCTGGCACAGCACGGTCAGATTTCCCCACCCGTTTGAATTTATAGTACTTATAAGTCTTTCAGGTGTGGAACTCTGACCGCAACTTAGGTGTCGACATGTTGCACGTAGGGTTCTAAGGGGAAAGGGTTTGTCCCGTTTTAGAAGTCAAGAAGCGCAACTTTCGGCACCCCAGTGTATCTTGTTCCTTATGTTCCTTTGTCTCTACAAGGGGGTGGAAACAAAATCTGCAGCCCCGTATAGCCCCGTCGTTGTTTTGTTGACCCCCCCCGAAAACAACCAGCCAACATGTACTTTACCAGTAGTGGTGGTGCTTGTACTAGTGCTAGTATTAGTGGCACGTTGAAGTGGTCGTAGGAAGAGGAGTAGTGGTAGTAGTAGTAGTAGTAATAGTAGTAGTAGTAGAAGCAGTAGTAGTAGTAGTAGTAGCAGCCTAGTAATACTAGTAGTAGTCGTTGTAGTCGTCGTCGTTCTGCTTGGAACCTCTACCACATCCTAGAGACAAAAACTGCAGTCCCGTTGTTGTTTTTTGGGACCCCCCATCAAAAGATGTTGTTGTCTCTACCCCAGTAGAAACAAAATCTGCAGCCCCGTTGTTGTTTTTTGACCCCCCCTCCAGAACAACACCCCAAAAAACATCAAAAAACAAGAAACATACCAACCAAGACTTGAGCACCACAACGACAAGAAGTCAACCTACTAACATCTCTTCAAACCTTCGACCCTATCCCTAACAGTGTCCCTTTGAAATCCCTGACTTGCAACATGTGACGACTATGTTGGGCAGCTGTTTTGTCTCTACCACCAACAATAACAACAGCAACAGCAACAACAACAACAAAATAACAAAAACAAAAGCAACACCACAACAGTTCTAGTGCATAACAAGCACCACTTACACTACTAGCAATCAACAATGCCAGAGGCAACGGCAAGCAGCAATGCAACGAGGGCAAGACGTTCAACTAGTTGTCTCATCCCAAAATCCAAACATACCAAAGCAATAAGGGCCATCAAGGACCTATATATACTGTATTTATAATATCATTAAACGGTGGTGGCCCAGAGCAGGCTTTGATGCTCAGGCTCCCACCCGGCCAGTGATCTTCAGCTTGATCCGAGGATTCTTCACCTGAGAGAGAGAGAGAGAGAGCAAAGCTGTCACAGCACATGTTCGGGCTAGGGCCCAGTTGTTGCTGCTGTAGCTGTTGTTGGTCTTGTTGGTGTTGCTTCAGTTGGTCGCGACAAAAAGCAGGTACCCCGGGGCACCCCATATGACATAATGGTCACGGTCACTTGTTGTAGGTCTGGACTAACCGGAGGCAACATCGTTCAAGGTTGGAGGAAGGGATGGCATTCCAGTAGCTGTCGCTTTTGGTATGTTGTTCTGCGGCAGAGGGACACAAAAATACAACCACAGGGCTCGAATCTTTCTCCCCAGGATGGGGCAGGAAGAGAACAATGACGACGACCTATACCAGCAAGACTTAATGTGATTGTTTTGGGAGGTCAAGTTCTAAAAGGAAGCCGTGGTGTGGTATGGTATACGGTATAGTGCACTCACTCAAGCCACTAGAGCCCAAAAAACGCTAGGCAAGACTGGGCAGACTCTCACCCAAACCCCCGACATAGGATTTGAACTTAGGAAAATGGGCTTCGGCCTAAGAGAAGAGGGGCTGTCAGACTCTCAAGGGTTTGGGTAGGCTCGGTGCGAATACAACTGGCGCTGATGGCGCTGATGGCGCTCAAGAGAGTGCTCAAGGGGTCTCGTGAAGGGGACTCGTGAAGGGGGCCGCCTAGTACGTGCAATCAAGCATCATACGAAGATCTATTGTTCGAGCAGCCGCCTCGCACAGCAAATCAGCAAATTTCTTCAGCCGTTCCAGGACCCTGTTGGAGCTAGCTTTTGGACCCGGACACATGTAGGCCATGTGGTCGCCTCTGGTCGCACTATGTACTTGTTGGAGGGTCCAGGTTGTAAACACGGTGGGCATTATCCTGTAACTTCCATGAAGCTTGGAGGCTTCGAGCAGCTATGTGGGCCACAACAAAGACTGATCATGTAAGGATATGTAAGGTTCTGGTACGAAAGGAACCTCATGCTCAAACCCCTGCTTTTTGTCCAAAGATCTCCAAAGATTGCATCCTGTTTTGCTCTTGCCGCCAAATCCTCGCCTGCGGTTTCCCCTCGCCATTCCGAACTCACCATCTTCTTGTTCCACTCCTTGTCGAACACACGGCAGATGTACCTCGGAGATCCGGCAAAGGCCCGGCACGAGAGCCCAGCACGCCGCGGGAGCGAGACGGCGCAGCAGATCCGTCGGTGCGAGTGACACGCAGCGGTAATGCAAGACAAAGTCTTCGAAGGCCATCCAGAAGGTTCCATCGTCTGCGCTCGTGTGGCCCTGAGCCGAGGTGAAACCGTGGTGAAACACCGGGGACAAGCCCAAGAGTCATGCGAGATGGAAAAGAAGAAACAAAC